TAGTTTACGGTCCAATTCTCACTTTTGACTAGCTTATTAGCATACATATGACTAGGATATTCGTTGTTTATTAGTACATATAAAGCACATATTAATGCCTTATTCTGCATGACCATCCATTAATCCTACCCAGTACCTAAACTAACTATTAATAAGCAATAATTAGGTGGTTAATATTTAGTTAATAGTGAAAATTGGATCTAAAACATTTTGGGTTTTTTTAAAATATTTTTTTTTAATAGTTTAGCAAACATCCTCTACCACTTTAAGCCTAATTGATTTTTAATTTTTTTTTATAGTTTTGTGAAAAAACCATATACCATTATAAATTTTAAATATCAAATTTATAGTGGTATATAGTGGTATAAATGTCTTTTTCTTTCTCCAAAGCGACTCAGAAAAGCGCTTGACAAATAAAATGTATTATTATTATTATTATAAAGTACCATATTTTTATAGTTTTGTAAACAACAAATCCAACTACATGCAAACCTTTTTTTATTTTATTTTTTAATCACCTTATTTTTGTGTGGGGGGGGGGGGGGGTTGATTGTGGCGTCATTTTCAACAGTATGCAACAGCAATTTGCACCAACACTGACTCTCCATTTGTTGCAGCAGCAGCAGAGATTAGAAGGCGTTCACACAGGACGCTTTCTCCTTTTCAAACAGCTAGACAGAGCGATGTCTTGTGACACGTTTCTTCTAGACTATTTTTAACCTGACACACCTTAAAAACAACGTCTGACTATAGAAGTCTGTATATAGACCAACAAAATAATGCAGACATTACACCTCCTTGAGTACTCTTGAGAATATCCATCCTTGCTATGAGCCACCATGTTTTTCTGTTCTCTCTCTAAAATAATTTGCAAGATCTAGGCATTACCTCACACTACTGCACTGTTTACCAGGTTTAATTGGCTCTTCTTTTTGTTTTAATGAGCCAACTTTACATTCCATATAGTAGGCTACATGTTAATGTTTTGCTCATGCTCATGTGGCTTTGTTTAGTGGCCCTTGTAGACTTGCATTGTCTGTTTTGAAGTCATGATGGAGTTATTCTTTAGAACAGTCTTCCAGACACTCCATCACTCACGCAACTACAGAAAACAGGCCCCTCCTCTGTTTTACATGCTTTTGGGGAAAAGATTGGCATTCCTGTGAAGAAAGATAGGATAGCCCATGCAACAACAATAATAATGATGTTCTCAGTAGCTAAATCACCAAAGAGGAGCTCCATCTAGCAACAAGAACAAGGAATGAATGACTCATCGACTTAACAACTGTACAAAAACAATTTAGTACAAGAGTGAACAGCCAAGTAGACATTCCCTAGGCAACTATATAAAACACCTCCGCACTGCCCAATACCTTTTCTTAGTTTTATTTCTTGGTCGGTATTGAAGCTTATAGTGTTTCCATAAACGCCACTAACACAAAACTCACACATATTCTAAAATCAAATGGTGATTCATAGAGATTAGATATTAGGCCTTTCTCTGTCTATATGGACAGAGACCAAACTCTTAATTTCAGAAGTTGCACAGTGGACCGTCAGAAATCATTCTAATGTGCTGAATTTCGCTCAAGAAACCTTTATTATTACTATCTTATTATATTATTCTGTTGAAAATGTTTGTTTCTACTACTAAATATTTTTTGGGAAACTTTTTCAAGATTCTTTGATTAACAAGAACCATTTTTTGATACAGAATCTTTTGTATTACTGTGAAATGATTTACTGTCACTTTGGTTCAATGCGTCCTTGCCAAAAAAAAAAAAACACAATTATTTAAAAAAACTAATCTCAAACATTCGAACGATAGTAGTTGCATGTATAAACGGTCCATTCCAGTTTTTGTTTGACCAATTCTCTCACAATTTATAAGTAAATGTTGGTTAATTTTATATTGTCAACCAAATAATATAAAATATATTGTGTATACATATACAGTACTATTGCCCAGCCTTACTATGTGCTGTGTCTTAATGAGGAGGCAGAGTGCTGTTGAGGGGGTGTTTATGTGTGTGGATGGGTGGTAAAGCAAACTGCCCATCACTTTCAATGAGCTCCATCAGCAGAAACTTAAACGTGTGTCATAAAGCGAACCGTCCATTTGCAAGAGGAAAGAAGATCCTCAGTGACCTCTTTCTAAACACTCCCCCACCCACCCCTTTCCCATATCCCGCTGAGTATATCACAACAGACACATCACAACCTCTCCAGGAACTCTTCATCCAGACAGTCAACACATCACATAAGCTTTCTGCTTGTATGCTATAACCTCGCCTGTGCAGCTATTTGATATTTAACATGTTGAGTTTAACTAATGGTCATTGTGTGTGTATACCGTATACACCATAATCAAAATGTTTAAAAATTAGTCCTTCATTTCTGACAGTTGTTTGACCGGTGTTGTCCACACACAACCCCCTCGTCTCCCTGCGAAAACAATGGTGATCTCTGCTCTAATAATCTACCACCCCGATTGGTCCGTCAAAGATTACTCTTGGGCCGCCAGCTGTCGGGAGCTCAGCAAAGCTTTTTTTTTTTTTTTTTTTTTTTTTTTTTGGTAAGATCCCATCCATGATCCTGAGATACCTCAGTTTGAGAGTATTAACACAGCTTCATATAGCTAGTCTGGGCTCAAACCCAATTATTTTCATGCTTGTAAACAATAGAAGGTTAAAGGAAACCGGAAAACCCTACTGCACCGTGCCGATAAGGGCCGATTCTCTTCCCAGCCTCTCGGGAGCCAAGAGATCCTGGCTTCGGATCAGTCTGGTTGAATTTGTTTTCCCCCTCTTCCCTTCTGTTTTAGTTTCTGAATCTGAAGGGCGACGTTTGACTGCCTCATTTATGGTGCAATGTGATTTTGTGTGGGTTTTGTAGGATAAATATCCCAGAAGCACGCTTTCAGGCAAATTGTTATAGTGTAGAAGGATTAGTAACCAATCAGAGAACCGCAGTCGGCTAATTCCTTTAGAGTCCGCACCAAAACACAGTTAATCAATGGTGATTTTATGTGTGTGCGTGCACTGAACCTCCTCGTGTTTTGTAGGAGATATAGTGGAACTGGAGTCGAATTGCCGATATTGTATCAGAATTAATTGAAAGTGGAGACTTTGGGGCGACTAATGGAAGGCTTTCTGTGAATAGACTGCCAAAAATAGTAGCTTTGCCAGGCGACTGTTATTGCAGCTGCTCCCATAACTTCAGTCTGCATGTACATAGATCCATGGTATTTACATGGGCAGATGCTTTAATGCTGCTTGTTTGCCTCCTAACACAATGTCTGTAGTCTCTCATGTAATGTGATTGATAACCCTATGACTGACGGATTCACCCTCTGATAACACAACACATACGACTGTCATACAAACAGTGCACTATAGGCTAATATTATATCGTTTAGTTCAGTAAAAACAGCCATTTCTGATTAAATTGTCAGCTGACGATATTTTACGCTGCTTCCATGTAAGGAAAAAAGCATTCCATCACCTTTTCAGTTCCAAACACCATCAATCACAAAAACATGGTGTATGACCTCAGTCTTACACCAGCAGGAGGAAAACAACTATAGAAATGGGACATAATATAGGACATGGGACATATGCTTAGAGCGATTACTAGGGAGCTTGAAAAAGGTGACATACAATTTTAAAGTACAATTAGAGCACACTATCCTTCCAAGGTCATTCTAATTAGCTTATTTGGTGCTCAAGAAACTTTTCTTCTTTTTATTTATCAATGTTAAAAACAGTCGTGCTATGTTATATGTTTGTAGAAACCTTGCATCCTTGGCTTTGCTGAATAAGATCTTACTGACCGCAAACTTTTGTACAGTAGTGTATTATTATTCATTGGTCTCTTCACTAGTCAGAATTTCAAGATTTGGCCAATGTCAGTTTTAATTCAATTAAATTTAGAATAATTAATTTCAATTTAGAATAATTGTTTGTTATTATATTTATATTAGTGATGTCAAATTGATTAATCACGTCTAAAATAAAAGTTTCTGTTTATGTAATATATGTGTTTATAAATATGATTATATTTATATATATATATACAGTATATATCATGTAGTGTGTGTGTGTACACACCCATTTATATATGCATAATATATATATATATGTTTGTGTATATGTATATTTATGCATACTATACATAATATAGTAATATATTATACACTGAAAAAAAATAATATGCTTTATCTAATAAAAAAAAATTGTGGCAACATATTACAAGCAATATTATTAATTAAATTGTACAAATTCGAATTAATTAGAATGTTAATTTGATTAACTATTACTCAATTCTAATTTGTTCAATTTAATAAATAATATTGCTTGTAATCTGTTGCCACAATTTTATTGATTAGATTAAGCATATTCATTTTTACAGCGTGCATAATATGCATACATATGCATATTTACACACACACACACACACACACACACATAATGTAAATATAATAACATATATATAAGCGCATATATCATATAAACAAAAAAAAAATGTATGTTGGATGCGATTAATTACGATTAATCGATTTGACAGCACTAATAAAATGTTATGTTCATGTGTGCATATTTCTATGTGCAATTATTCTATTGGGTGGTTTATTATATTATATTTTATTTGTTGACATGGCATTCGTCTTGGGCGACTTGTTACGCACTGACCTATACTGAGATTACTAATTTAATCTGGAAGAGAAAGTATTTTCTTAATACGTATTCATGTGATCTAAATATGGCTGCCCCCATGAGGTGACCTGAATGAATGTTTACTTTCAAAAAATAATTTAAAAAACAATTATTCATTTATTCACATGTAAAACGTTTTATAATGAGGAACAACATGCTCCAGTGGCCCTCCCCTCACCTCATCACAGCACTGCGATTTTCGAAATCATTGTACAGCACACTTTGGACAACATCTGTAAATCACACTGAGGTTAAACTGGAGTTCTATTTGTTTGTGTCCTTCAGGAACAACAGAGCGTGTCTGCTTGATCCAGGGCACTGTAGAGGCGCTGAATAGCGTCCATGACTTCATTGCGGAGAAGGTGCGGGAGATGCCGCAGAGCGCTCAGAAAACAGAGCCAGTTAGTATACTTCAGCCACAGACCACAGTCAACCCTGACCGTGTCAAACAGGTGAGGCCTTTTTATTCATTCTATAATAATCCCATTTTTTTCACACTTTTTTTTTGATCTGATTCCCATTTGATAAGTTCTAATAAAAAGCACAAGTAAACAGACCCATGAATTTAGCCACAGAATGAAATGAAGTGTGAGGAAGGACATTTTGATATACATCATCCTTTCTAATAAACTGTGTTAACTCAGTCAAACAGGCTCTACTTGGTTTGGCCTTTGCATTATACAAGCAAACAAACTCTCGAAGATTCTGAGTGTGTTCCAATTAGACAAGTCATTGATTGTGTACCGGCTATCTGTTTAGGAGATTATCGCCACCGGTCACTTCATTATTATGGTCCATTGATCTGCTGGGCTCCTGCATTGTTGTCATCCACCTCAATGATTCTTCCCTTTTATTTATCATTTTACTTAATTAAATCACCCTTAGGACAAAGAGACAGAGTTGGCTGCATTCATGAATAATTTACGAGATGATAACGTTTTCTGTTCTTCATTTTTAGTTAAGCCTGTCCATTAAGGAAGCTTGTTCTTTGTGCTTATTGAGCAGTTTCCGTGAAGACAGGCCCATAACCTGAATTCCTAGAACATAAGTCCAAGACGCTTACCCCAGCAGAGTTGCCGACCTAATTATTTATGCATGTAATTATAGGGCTTATCAGCGGAGGAATACATCTCAATTTAGTGTAGACTATTGTCTCTGCTGGGACAGCATTACTGCATTCTGCAATATGACAAACTTTATTTGTATGATTATGATATATATACATACAGGGAGGCAGAGAGTTTAGATTGCAGTGATATATTAAAAATGATCAATATGTACAGAAGTAAAAAAGTAAAAGTTGATCAAACGGTTGATCAGACCATATACATTGACTTATGGATAGGGATTGGTACTTCAACATATCGTTTAAAGGGTTAGTTCACCCAAAAATGAAAATTAAGTCATTAATTACTCACCCCCATGCTGTACCAACCCCGTAAGACCTTCGTTCATCTTCGGAACACAAATGAAGATATTTTTGATTATATTTGAGAGGTGGATCACTGCTACATAGGCTGCCTAAGGGATCGAAACTTGACGGCCCAGAAAGTCATTGAAGAAAATGTTTAAATATATTCCATGTGACTACAGTGGCTCATCTATAAGTTTATCAAGTGACGAGAATACTTTTTGTGCGAAAAAACAAAGTTCAAGAGATTTCCACGGCGCATGCGCGAGAACTGCGATCTCCTCTTACTACTTCTTGTTTAGTTCTCGCGTATGCGTCGTGGAAATCTCTTGAACTCTCGTCTCAGGCCACAAGGAAGAAATGGAATAGTCGAATAAAGTCGTTATTTTTGTTTGTTTTTTCGCACTAAAAGTATTCTCGTCACTAGATAAACTTATAGTTGAGCCACTGTAGGCACATGGGATATCTAAACATTTTCTTTAATGACTTTCTGGGCTGTCAAATTTCAATCCCTTAGGCAGCCTATGGAGGAGTGATCCACCTCTCAAATTTAATCAAAAATATCTTCATTTGTGTTCCGAAGACGAACGAAGGTCTTACGGGGTTGGTACAGCATGGGGTGAGTAATTAATGACTTAATGTTCATTTTTGGGTGAACTAACCCTTTAAATAAATATTTTTTTGCCAATATTAAGTCATTACATTTTTTATATTTTTACGTCAATATTTTGTTTATATTTTATTTCGTTTGGTGCTAGATTATTTGGTCATAATTTTGTCAATGCAAGTCCGGTTTTGGGCACAGTGAGTTGTGATTGATGTTATATGATCTTGCGTTGCCTTTGCGTTCTTTTCCAATTGTCACCACACGTGCGGCTGTTGTGGCATGTATCTCATTGCAGTGCGCACTGATTGAGAGATAGAGGGCAAGAATTAAAGTCATATTAAGCGACAGCTGCTGATTTCGGGTCAGGAACGTCAACCGCTGAGCCTGCAACCAAATGGTCAGGGCAGGAACGCGGCTGACACCTAACTTAATCCACGCACCCATCGGCACAGGAAATCAATCTGGTCATCTAGATGGCTCATTGTTATGGACGCCTCATTGTTTCCTACAGAGTTTGACTAAACTTCTAAACAAAAATTTTGAAGTGCCAGCCATCAGTGGCTTCCTCTTGCCTGCACAGGTTTCCTCTGATCCTTTCCTCTGCCTGCTTCCCACATCCTGTTTGTCCTATAGGAAATGGACCATTAATGCAGAGGAATCCAAGAGTTCCTAATGTCGTCTATTGGTAGACACAGTGAATCAATGCAGTTGGCCATTTTCGTCACTGAAGAGCTGGCAAATACTGTATATGCGAGCAAAATAATGCACTTACTGCGTACCCAAACAAATCAATCCCAATGTAATTTATTCAACTGAAAATCTATAGTAATGCAAATGGCAATTACAATAATTCGCAAAGCAATCAATAATAAAGAGAAAGGAAATGCATATTCTGGACTTTAATTAAAGATCAGCTATGAAACTAATTTTGAAGCTTATTCACATTGGTTCCTCCTGCTTCGCTTATGACTAAAATGGAACAATTTCTCTGTAATCTCTATTTCTACATCGAAGAGAAAAGAATGATTTTCTCCATGCATCACTGGCCTTTTTCATAATAACCCACAGCTTTACTTCTCTAATATTGATCAGTGGGATTGCCTTAAGTGGCTGTGCTGTTTCAAACCATCTTTTCCCTTCACGACACCACCAAAGCCAGCCTATTTAATTATCCTGCATCATGAATCTAATAAAAGTTCTCATTGGAGCACTGCGCCCGCACACACACACACACACAGAGAGACAGCCAAGCGAAACACTACTGTGTTCCCTGCTCATCTTCTAAATTAAAAGCGACATCAGGAAAATTGCTATAACGTCTAAAATTGAGGAAGAAAAAAAACCCTCCCGTCCGATAGCCCAACCTACCCTCCCTTCCTGCTCTGGTCTCTGGAGGGATGATGACTGGCTAAAATATTTTATGCCTTTTTTAACCTTCAAATCCATCAGCCGGCCAGGAAAAAGGTCACTGTCTCTCCACGGAGGATCGATCTAATTTCCAGAAGAGCCAATGGAGAGGGGGAGTCTTACACAACGTTGGTTGTTGGACAAGGAAGTACATCCTCTAATGCTGGGCTCAAATCTCTTTTGGGTGAAAGAAAGGACAGATGCTGTCTGTGTTGTGTGTCTTTAGTATTTGCAGACTGGCAGTTTTGTAAGTTTGTTTGTTTATACAGTCACAGCGTGTTTGTGGAAAGCATGTGTGCATCTTACGCACACTTTCTTATGATTTCTACAGGGTTCTCACACGGAAAGTATCGGGGAATTGTGGTTTCCAGGTCTTGAAAAATCATGTAAATAATTATAATGATTTTTTTTTCTCCTATTTATATAAAATAAAATATTTAATTGGCTAAATGCCTTTTTTTTGGGAGTGAAATCTCATTTTTCAGCTTTAAAATTGTCTAACAAACTAATTTCAAGACACTATTTTATAGTTATTATACAAACAAATACCAACCCAAATATACATTCACTATAAAACTGTCTTAGTTTGTGATCTAATCATTTCAAACAAAAAAAAAAAAATCATAAAAATGCTCTTGTCAATCTACAATAAATGCAAAATAAAGCTCTGAAATCACATGTCCAGTGGATAATGCATGAGGATATTAATAAGTCAGAATGTTGAGCATTATTATCAGGGATCATATTGGCTATTTGGGAAGAATTGACATGTCTATATCAAGTCTCACATCAAGTGTCACACTTACCTTAAATACAGGTCATCCTGTTGATATTGGACTGTGGTGATCTCATATTGTCTACGTGTGAGAGGATGTTCTCTATCCGAAGCTGGCACATCTCTAATCCTGAGCCAGACCCCTGGAGATATGAGTTGTAACATTCTTTGATGGATGCAGGACTTGAGCTGTCCGAAATGGCATAAAAATCAATAATAAATTAGATATTCATTAAATATGCATATGCAAGGTGCATACTTCATTTGGTGTTGCTCTGCATTCGAGTTTTTGAAGAGATCTGTGATGTTTCTGTGTCAAGGCTAGATCATAATGTTCAGATGGATATTTTCTGGTGCAAGTTTATTTTATGTAGATATCCTTATTTAAAAATCGAAACATATTTAAACAATAAGTGATATAAGAGCTTCAAGGCATAGTTTAACAAATTCTGTCATAATTTACTCACACTCATTTCTTAAGGTCGACCGATAGTGGACTTTAAAGTTGGACTGCACTGGCCTATAATCGATTAATCAACCGATAGTTTTTAAAATGGATTCTGAATGAAACCAAACATATCACATAACATAGTGCCGAACTTTATTACAACAAATTTAAAACAGTATTGAACCATGAAAGTGTGCTGTACTTTTTAAATATAAAAAATGTGAATTGATCATTCATAGTAGTTAATAGTGAATAAACTATTGTTAAGAGATGCAACTTTAATATATTAAAGGGATAGTTCACTTTGAAATGAATTTTTGATATGTTTTAGCTTACCTCAAGGACATCCAAGATGTTTTCAATTTTTGACATTTTTCGGTCAAACCGTTGTTGTCTGTCAGTCATATAATGCAGGTCTATGGTCACCACCTTAAAGAGCATGCACAGAGAAGTCCAAATTAAACATGATTTAATGACTCGTAAATGTAAGTACACATTGATGGCCTAAGACACGAAACGAGCGGTTTGTGTGAGAAAACGAACAGTATTTATATCGTTTTTACCACTTGTTAACAGCCATGTCCAACTGATCTGAATCAGATGTCCAACTGAACCGAACTGAACCATACTCAGCGTTCTACCGGAAGTGATCGCTTACGTGTGTACGTCACTCGTTGTTTACGCAGAGATTTCGGAAGTTTTACCTTTCACTGTGAAGATCTAAACATATTTAGATATACGGGAAATCGCAATGGAAGACGATTTCGATATATCTAAATATGTTTAGTGAAAGGTAAAACTTCA